TTAACAGCTGTTTTTCCTTTGTCTAGGAGAAATGTATAGGATATGCTTTTAAAACTTTCCTACAGGTGTTTGATATTTCTTGCAGAGATAAGAAAGTTATACATTTTTGACTATGAAAAAAGGCAAGTTTTGTTTTGTTAAAATCATTGGTGCTTTACACAGTAACGTCTATTTGATTGACTTTCTAATATCAAAATCTGGGTTTTCTATTGTCTGCAGAATGATTTTCAACTATAAGGACTTTTTTTAGCTAGAGCTCATATACCACTGAGCAGTGGTCTCAAATTCCAGTGTGCACACACCTCACTTGGGGCACTTGCTCAAAAAGAATTCTAATGGGGCTCTTTGCATAGAGATGCAAGGTCACCAGAGCTGGAGATGACCCTGGGATGTACTTTTAGTAATACAGAAAATTCGGGGCTGTGTTACCATTTGAAAGTCATAGCTAAGCTTCATTTGGTTTGGTTCAGCTCTCAAACTGTGACTATCTGGAGATTTTTCAGCAAGAGTCAGAGTGAGTCAGGGGAATTTTATTAATCTCTCAAAGGAGTCTACAAAAAGACCATGACATTAGAAGCAGAAATACACAAATAGGACAAGCTATTGGTAAAAGCAGCTACACAGGGCTGGGGGTTTAGCTCAGCAGCATAAGCACCCGCCTTGCAAGCAGGCGGTTGTGAGTTCGATCCCCGGTACCGATAATAATGAAAAAAGACCAAAAAAAAAAGCAAAAAAGCAGCTATACAACCAATAAGAAAAACTCACAACAAAGGTCTAACAATGGAAGAAAAATTACAGAACAGATGTAAATATTTGTACCACATAGCAGGTCATCTTAGAATCCGTCAGTCCACTGTTTTTGAGAAAAATCTTTGACTTGAATAGATGTGTTGGTAAAACTGGTGTCTGTTGGTCAAAAATGATTGAGAAACATTGTTTTTATGTGTTTTGTTTATATGTTTTTACTTTATTATAGAAGCAAACAGAAACTTTAACATGTTGTTTTGATTGTGGATCATTAAGGAGACTTTTATATGTAGTAATACACTAGATTATTTGAACCATTAAATCATTTTCAAATGATTCTGTCTTTGTGATGTGCCCTTTAACAGAAGGACAAACAGCCCCTTAGGGCAGGACAGAAGTAACTTTCATCAAAATCATGCCATCAAGAGAAATTTAAATTTCATGGACTTATTTTTATTACCAGTTCATTGTATGTTATATAAAGTCTTCCTCTAAAATGAAAATTTACTTTTCTTTGTTTATAATATTAGGGGTAAAATTTATATATTTTAAGAACCAGAGCTCATTGTACGTAAAGCAACACTCTTTATTTCAGATATTTCACAGCAGTAGAAGTCCAAACATAGTTCCCTATGTAAGAACATCTATGTTAAAACCTTCTTGGAACAAACATAGTTCCATGGTGATGTAAAAATAATTTGATTAGTAAGTAAATAAAGACCAGATTGAGTTGGAGAAAGAAGGCTCTTAGACTGGTCATATCCAGATGAAGTTTTCTGGAGAGGTGCCTTGGAAGAGAGGCGTAAACAGAAATAATATTAAAAAAAAGAAGGAACGAGATTAATTTAATGAAGGAAAACATAAAGGGAATTTCTGCTGGGAGAAATTCTTTCCTAATTTGGTTAGCAGTGAAGAGTCTAAGGGACAGAAAAATAGATATGATTTGGCTGTTATAAATCATGAGCTAAGGTACGATGATTAGGACTGCAGTCCTGTGAGATCCTGAGGAGAAAATAAGTCAAATAAGTTTGGGAAATGCTATTTCATCCTTTGTGTTTAATTTTGCTTTAATTGGCCTTTCATGAAATGATTGTATCACAGAATTATTTTGCCCAGAAATTAAGAACTCTCACAACACCCCTTGGGAGAACACTGAGCTAATAGTGATAGGAAATAAGGACTACTAATTAATGGGCCTCCACCATAATCATTGCTTCTTTGGGACAGAAATGATTAGATTTAGGTCATACATATTATTCTGTCCTCTTTCATTATTAAGTGATAAAGATTTATTGAATTAAAATGGATTTGCCTTTCAATATTGTCATATGTCTGGAATACAAAGTATTTCTCAGTCTAGGTCATCGAGGTAAGATCTCTTCGTGTATAGGCCTGAACCCTACAGATTATAGCAATGTCTCCTAAAGATTTTTGTAGTAGAGATTCTTTTCTCACAGTATAAACATTTACAAATATGTGCAATTTATAATTGAGCCAAATGAATAGTTTTTTAAAGCTATGTTTAGTTTTTACTTGAACTATTGAATATTCTTCCTTGATGATTAGGAAGAACTCTTAAAGACATTGAAAATTTGTTTTAAAACTGTGTTATATACAAAAACAACTTTAAGATTTAGAAGGTTAAACTAGTCCCTTGTCTCTGTAACTGAAGCTAAAGGGAAATCAAACAGGCCAGATAACAAGCAATAACTAAACAAAACATGATACACTTATTCTCTTTTCTTTTTGTGTTTTTTACCATGATTTTTCTAGCAAAATCTTGGTTATGTATATCACCTCCATATCGTATATACTCTAACATCTTTATAGAAGAATGGTAGGTATAAAAGCACTATTTAGAAGGAAGTTCTAATGTATATGGGACTGAGGTAAATGTAAAGATAAAATAGAAGTTTTGTAGGTATTTGTGTGTTTCTTACCAAGATCTCTTTTCTCCTTGAGAATAGGACTGAATCTCACGCTAAAGTTGATACATGTCTTTCTCACGTTTTCAACAAAGATACCATGACATTTTTATCTTCCATGACTATCATATGGATACATGTTTAACTTCAACATTTTAAAGTTTCACTGCAGTGAAGTGGATTGTCTAGAAAATTGTAGCAACTCTGGAACTATCCTTCTACGATGTGGTGAAAATAATTTTCCCCCAGTGGAATTATCAGGCCCCTATACAGTTTCTAAATAGCACTTACCGCTTTCCCTCCACAGGCAGAATATACTTACTTTATAACTTACAAACTGCCCAGTTTGTAACTACCTCACAAGACAGTTTTTAAATACATGTTTTAAGTGTCATTGCTAAAGAAAATTTTCTTTTAACCCTTGGAAACATGATCAAAATGATCACTTTTTGATGTCAAGCTATAACAAAATCAAATAAAAGTTAAGGATATGTAATAAACTATTCTCTGTACTCTTAAAGGCTTAAGTGTTTTGTATCATAATAAAATAGTAATGTGATTTGATTAGTAGCAGAATTATAAGGGGAAAAATCAATCTTTATGTTGTATTGTTCTTATGTAAGCAATAGATATAATCACTTAGCAGTTATGTTTAAATGTGATTTCATATTATGTCATCTACATCTTTGTCAACTGCTAAGTTAACTTGGTTCTTTTTAATGATGTACAAATAGCATCATTATTATCTGGATTTTTATTTTAAAGAAAAATTTAAAAACAATGAAAATGGTACAGAATTTCAAAATAAGATGATAGGAAATTAGCAATAGTTATTATATATTTTTGTCTTCAAAATAGTCACTCAGATTACCACCTGTAGGCATGCAAAATTGATCACACAATATAAGCACCAACTGTTCCTTTCAGTGAACTAATAGTGTGAGTAGTACAATTAGCTTAGCTATCTTGTGTGTGTGTATATCTATCTATCTATCTATCTATCTATCTATCTATCTAATTTTGTTTTTCCCTTCCTTCTTTTCCCCTTTCCCTCATCCCAGTTGTTATTTCTTTTTGAGCAGTTTCTCTCCCTTTCACAATATCTATTATACCTTTTGAATCTTATTTACCCTTTCAGCTTGTTGCACTGGGGAGACAATGCAAAGTTTACACATACAAGTCTGATTTGTTTCACTTATGAGCGTGGTGCCTACTTGCATCCATTTACCTATAAAAAGCTTGATTTTATCTTTCTTTAAACTGAGTAGTACTCCACTGTATAAAAGCATCACATCTTTTTTATCCATTTCTCAGATGATGGGCATTTGGATTGTTTCCAAGATTTAGCTATTACAAATTGTGCTGCTATAAACATGGGTGTACATAATATTGCTGTGGTATGATGTTTTCAATTCTTCTGCAAAAATACCCAGAAAGGGAATACCTGGATCAAATGAAAACTCAATCCTAGTTTTTTGAGGAATCTGCCTTTAATATTTCATTTTAATTTCAGGCTTCCAAAAATCTACCAGAATAATACAAAGAGTCTACAAATTTCTTTCATACAGATTCCCCAAATGTTAATATTTTATTTTACCACAATTCTACATTGCTGTTTTTTTTCTTCTCAGTGCTTTTTTCCCTGAACTGTGTGTAGATGGCAGAAATTTATTCTTATATGCTACAATATGTATTTCTTAAAAACAAGAGCTTTTTTTTTTTCAAAACCAAAGCACAGTTAGGTAAATCAGGAAATTAACAATCAATAGCTATAATAGCATCAGTTGTAGATGTTGCTCAGATTTTACTGTTACCTCAATAATTTTATTTATAGAAAAATAAAGTGCTGATATTGTTTTGATTTATGTTACCATATCCTTTCAGATTCTGTTAGGCTACAATATCTCCTAGTCTCAATGCTTCCTGACATGACAATTTTCGAATAGTACATACCAATTATTTTTGCAGAATGTCCCTCATCTTAAATTTGTCTGACATTTTTCTCATGATCAGATTTAAATTATGATAAACTGAACTTAAAAACAAAAATAGAATGGCTTAAGATGTGGCTTTACAACAACAAATCATATTCCTGTTTATAGCTCTGAAAATTAATCTGTTTGTCATATTTGTATCTACAGCTTCCAAGAAAGAGTAAAAATTCACCTAGAAAATTTCATATGTGATTTTAATGAGCAAATTTGTTTCAATAATGGAGCACCTTGTTAATTATGATGACTCATGGAATCACATAGAGGGTTCTAATATTTACTGAGAAAAGAAACAAAAACAGTATTGGTCCAACAGTACTGATTTTTCTTTTCACAGTTACGCCTGAATTCCCACAGAACGGAAGAAACTTTTCCCTATCCTTAGATGAACTCAGATTCTTATCACAGCTTGTAAAATCCTTTTTGGACCTAGAAAACAACGTTCAAGAATTATTTGAAGCAATGTTTTTATCAATTAAGACATCCAGGGATACTTCAGGTAATATGTTTGGTTTTTAAATTTGTAAATCTGTAATCTCTCTCTGGTTCTACTTCCTGTCATTTGAATCTAAGCCATTATTTGAAAAAAAAATATATGGTAAAATTCTTTGGATAAATGTTTCTTACAGTGCACACTATGGATTTTATTTTTATTTTTTAATTTTGTTTAGAGAAAAGAGCAAAACAGAAAAAAGGGTAGAAAAATACAGAATTTCAAAAACTACTATTTTTTGATTAGTCATTTTTATTTTTTGAGCTAGGCAGATTACTTAATTCTAACTGACAAAGCATTATAAGTACATTTAGGGTAATTGTCTTTAGCTGAAATTTGATAATTTTTTTCACAGAAAAACAACTTATGAAAGATTAAGCAGACTAGATGACCTAGTATTTCTTCAGCTGCTGGTTGCACTTAGCTGAGCGTGAGGAAATTTTTTAGCCTCCTTTGGCTTGGGTTTTCCTGTCTTGAATGTAAGCATGGAAGATTATACTAATTTTTTTCTATTTCCTTTTATGATTAGATGCTTCAGTTTCCAATATGGTCTGTAGTGTTAGGGGCATTAAATAACTTATTGTAAATAAAGTACGTACAGAGCTATCTAACATATCATAAATAATAAACATGAGTTGTTAAAATAGCAATTATAATTATGTAATATACTTTTAAAAATATAATGTACTATTTTAAGTTTGGTCTTACAAAGTCTCTTAAGGAAACTATGTTTTAAAAAATTCAAAGGCATAATAATTCTGTGCCCTCTGTTCTCACAGCTGTATTTATAAAGATGTTCATTTTTGTCAGATTGGAATGTATAGTGCAGCATTTTATGTGATAGTGCTATAATACCATTTTAAGGAGAAGGACTGCATTGGCAAAACGAAGTGAGGCAAGGCGAGATTAGCACAGAAAACAAAATTTTCAACTCTAAATCCCAATTTCTTAGTAAAAATTACAAGAGTAAACCTATTGAGTGAAATAAATGTATTCATTTACTTTGCTTTCTGTAAATAACACTAGAAACGTTATAGATTTGGAGTTTGTTTTATATTAACATAGGTTTCTGACTTTCCATAGGTTAAGTTTAGGCAGCACCATTACAAAGCAAATAATGTAAATCATTGCATTACTGCATTTTCCATCAGTGTAATAAAATACCTAATGCTGGATAATTTGGAAAGAAAAGAGGTTAATTGAGCTTGCAGTTTGTGAGACTGAAAGCCCAAAATGTTAGGCACTGACCGTGGCAAGGGAACTTCCCTGCCTGAGCTGCTTTATGGAAAACAGCATCCAGTGGCAACTGCACGGCAGATATGAAGCCAGAGAGAGAAGGTGCAATCTTGCTCTGTATGTAGCAACTCTCTCACAAAAATTAAAGTCTTAATTACTGTAATCCCTTTGAAGGTGGTGCTCCTAATGGCCTCCCAGTAGACTCCGCCTCCTACAGATCCTACCGTCTCAATCTTACCACACTGAGGACCAGCTTTTAACACATAAACCCTTATGGGATACACTTAACCCGTATCCAGACCATACTGATCACTTTTCCAAATTTGGAGCTCACTTGCAGAAAATTGGAAGTGAACTACAGATTTTGTGAAGCTAACAAAAGATAAAAATATAAGAAAGAAAATATGAATATTAATGGAAAGTCAAAATGAAAAAGGAGATTTAGTTATGAGACAATGTGAGCCCTCATGGGTCTTCTACAAAGAGATCTGAATAGAGCACTATGACATTGTAATTATTGATTGACATGCAGTGCCTCAAGCAACTGACACTGGTGGTGGAGCTCAACCATCATGTCTGCTTACGATTAGGCATCTCTCCACTCCCTCTCTACTAGATCTTTTCTGAATCGTGAATCAAGAAACAAAATGAACTGCAAACATCTAGGGTCCCTACCTATTTGGAATCTTGTTATTGTCCTGGTCCAGACTCTTGAGGTTTGTGTGAGAACTTTATTCATCTTAAGGGCAGCATAACTTTGAAATTAAAACTGTGTTAGAGGAGTAATGAGCAAAGATAAGGAAATGGCCAAGAACTGAAGAAAAGATTTAACATGCTTATTTCAGGAAATTTTTTTTAAAAGCTTGTTCAGCCCCATTAGATTGGGATCAAGTGATGTGAAGACTTGCAAGTGCTCTATATTTGAGAGATGCAGTTACCATCCTTGAATAAAATCAACCAAGCAAATGTATAATTATGCCACAATATACTTTCTTTAAATTTGTCATCATAAAAGCAGTATGGCAGATAAAAGCAACTTCAATATCATGTTAATAATAGTGTATTGTGTGAACACATTATAGATTATCTAATTTTGAACAACAGATAGCAGAAATGTCCAAGGACTAGAACACCTCCTTGTGGTATATATATTCTTCATTGCTAAAATTTTTGTTGGTAAGAAAGGTTGATATAATCTGACACAACTTCATGCAATGACTCTGAAAAGGATGGTCTTGAGGAAAATTATCAAAAAAAGGAAAAAATAACCTTGAATCTTTCAGTGTATCCAAGTTAATAAATTTTAATCAAAAGCATTACTTTCTTAAATGAGGAAGAATAATATTTCTTGAAACTGATGATTAAAGAAACTAAATATATCTTAGATTAATATTGGATATTCCTGGTAGTTAATGTCTGGCTGAAAAATCTTTTATGTGAGAGGATGAGAAAGGCAAAAGAGAGAGAAAGAGAGTACAAGTTATTTGGTCTCTTTTGTGTTTGTTTTGATTGGATTATATTTTGTTAACTTGGAAAAGTTCTCTGCTATTTCTTTGTAGCCCAAGTAATCTGATGAAAATGAAAGTCCCCCCCCCCCACCGTTGGTGTTTTTAACAAACCCAGGTGTGTAATATCACACACAGAAAATGAAAGATGATTAACCAAATATTTTACTTCCCATTTCAATGTTTACTATTATATTGTAGACTTTAGCCGAATTGGCAGTTTTCTTAGCAATTTGGATGCAATGAAGAGCTTTTATAGAGACAAAAGAAATCTTTTCTGAAAAGAAGATATTTAGTCATTATGTTTATTTGTTTTTGTTTGGTAATGATTTGATGGTTTTCTTATTTCATCATTTCAGAAAATGATAGGGTATCATTTAAGTGTATGGATGCCTTATTGTATTTCTTTTAGATGATGGGATTTTATGGACTGGATTTGGGTTTTTAATGGTACATTTCTAAGGCTCCTTCAGAATAAAGCCATTCTTTGGGCAGTTCCTCACTTTTTCCAAAGGTGGCATCTGAGATTTATCTAAACCAGGAGGCTTCTTGGCCTTCATTTTTCTTTAGCCCCAGCAATGACAAAGCGCAATGGCTGCTTCAATTGGATGTAAGAAGAACACTTAGGGTTTGTCTCAGAAGAATCAAAGATTTCAGATCTTCTGAAAGATTGTTTGTACTCTTAGGGGGTCTTAAGAGGGGTCAAATGGCTTCTAAGAGTTCCTTAGCTAGATGGTTAAGGGATTGTATTAGGGAGGCGTATGTAGTTAAGGTAAAGAGGCTCCTAGGGTTTGTAAAGCTCATTACTCTAGGACTTTCACTGTTTCTTGGGCAGAGAGGTCGAAGGCTTCCACATTGGAAATTTGCAAGGTGGCCACCTGGGCTTCTCTTCATACTTTTTCATAGTATTATCTCTTGGATGTAGTCTCTTCTACAGATTCAAGCTTTTGGTGGGAGGTTGCTTGTGAGCCAGCAAAGAACAGTGAGGAAGAAAAGAAAGACTTGTACTTCCCACTTAGAGCTGCCAACAAGGCCAGTTGCTTTGTAGTGCACACAATGGGAACCTACGAAGACCAATTTGGGTGTGAAAGTGGATGTGGCGGGAAGTACTGTCGACCTCCACTCTCCATGAAAGAAAGCGGCAGTGTGGAAACTAACCTGAAGTGCAAAATCAACCACAGAGAACTCTGTAGGGGAAGCCGTTGAGCAGCTGGCATTCCTGTGACCCTCTGCACTCTTCCGAGGTTCTTCATCTAGGCATGCTCTTAGAGACACTAGCGTTGATCACGTGCAAATACTATGTTACAGTCACGAGCCAAAAATGGACTACCTTCTCCAGACAATAAGTTTTCCAATGTGTATTAAATATTACAGTGGTTCCTCAAGTGTTCACAGAGTTCATAAAATGTTACATTGTCAAATTTTGAAATAGACCTTTTGAATCTCCAAAATATGTAAAAAAATGTCATAATGTACCAAAACCACTAGGTACTCTGTGTGGATTCAATATTACTAATTCTGCCTAAAAATGATCATTTCTACTTTCCTGTATAAATTTAAGCATTTAAAAATATATTAAAATTTTCTGAAGGATTTTTATTTTAAAGGTTACCATAATTGCTTGGTAACTCATTTTTTGTCTCACTTTGGAGTTGCACACAACCAGAAGAAGTCTTGGAAAGCTTATCTTTTTTTTTCTTACTCTGAAAATAGGCAGATGGTTTATATAAACATCTGAGCACATTACATTTAGTGAATAAACATAATGTATTTGGGAGTGAAATGATAAATACAAGATAATTAACTTTTCTTCCTATGACTTGGACTGTAACATGGCAGCAGATAGTTATTTCCAGAAACAGATCTACAAAAGCTTATATTTCAAACTAGTCTTATTCCCCACCAGGCTAAATACTTCTTTAATTAGCTGGTTTATGAGGTATCTGAAGTAGAATAATATTAAGGATCCAATTCTCATCATGTCATTAACAACTTGATCTTTATTATTTTTCTTCTTTAAAATTGCTTTTGAATAGTACTAGATACACATTATAAAATTTTGAACAGGACAAAAGAATATGATGCAATTATGTCTTTTCCCATCTCATGTGTCTAGCTTCCACTTCTAGAAACAGCTACTATATATTCTCATGTTAAAATAACACAAAATCTTCTGATACTCGCCGAGTCTTCTTATTAAAAATTCAGAAAATATATGTAGAGAAAGCTAATTTTTCCTAACAGCTGAACATGATTGCATATATCAGTTTCGCAAGCTATTAATTAATGAATGTTTAGAACTTCTTTGCTCTTCATTTGCTACCACAAATAATGCTAGGCCAAATTTCCTTAACCTATTCCTTACATGTGCACAACTATCTGTATATTTGGAAGGTAAATTTCAAAAGTATAATTGTCAATTTAAAATGTACAGTCCAAAAGATGATGACAAGGTAAGCCACAGACTAAAAAAAAAAAAAAAATCAAACTGCATATCTGATAAAGATTTGTACCCAAAATAAACAAAGAACTCTAAAGATTTAGCATGAAAACAAAGGATTCAATTTAAATAAGCCATGCACCTAATACCTTTAGAGACACCTCATTAAAGAACATATTCAGATAGCAAGTAAGTATATGAAATGATACTGCACATTACTTATCATTAGAGAAATTCAAACTAAAACAAGACACACCTATGAGAAGGGCTAAAATCCAGAATATTAATAGTGGCAGTTTTTGGCAAGGATGGGGAGCAACAGCAATTCTCATTCTTTGCTACTAGAAATGCAAAATGGTGCAGTCTCTTTAGAAGACAGTTTGGGAGTATTTTACAAAGCTGAATGTAGTGTTACCTGATAATCTAACAATTGCATTGCTAGGTATTTACCCAAAAGAGTTGCAAGCTCATCCACACAAAACCTGCTTGTGAATGTTGATAGCAACTTCTTTCAAAGTTACGAGAATTTGGAAGTAACAAAGATGTTTTTTAGTAGGTGAATGAATAAATAAACTGTGGTATGTCAATACAAGGGAATATTATTCATCAATAAAAAGAAATGAGAGGCCAAGCCATGAAAAAACATGGAAGAACCTAAGTTATAAATTGCTAAGTGAAGGAAATCAATCTGAAAGAGCAACATCTTATGTAGTTCCAACTAGAAGACATTATGGTAAAGGCAAAACTGTAAAGACTTTTGAAAGATCTACTCTGCCAAGCATAGAGATTAAGAAAGGATAGATACATACCTACGTAGTGCTGAAGGGATTTTTCAAAGCATTGAGGCTACTATATGTGTTAAAGCAATGTTGGACACATAGCAGCATGTGTTTGACAAAATTCATAGAATTTCCCAACAGAAAGTGTAAATCCTAATTTAAATTGTGAACCTTAGTTAATAATAGTGTTTTAATTTTCATTTATCACATCAGCTGAGGCATAAATAATAGTGGAAACTGAGGATGGGGAAAGAACACATGAGCTCTGTGCTTTCTGCTCAATTTTCATGTAAATCTAAAACCTCTCTACAAATGAAGTCTATTATTTTATTGAAATGAACATTTTGAGAAGATTGCCAAGTGAGTTTATTACATTGATTTTCACTCTTAATGGTATTTTTTGGTGGAAAATTATTTTATGGCTTCTTCTGTTTGTGTTCTGGAAAACCTTTCTATATTAGTCTTTTGAAAAAAAAATCCATGTTTTCCTTCCTAAGAAGGAAATGGTTAATTTTCTTTTATTTAAAAAATCCATGGTTAGTCTAAATTTTAGGTCAGTGTTAGAATTGAATCTTATTCTTAACCCCATCCCATTAAAAAGACATTATAATGTACAAAATATAGGAAATGCATTTTAGAATAAGTATTGTAATACTATTTGATTCTAAAACCTCAAAGTTGTGATTTGACTTGAAAATAAAGCAGAAGTTTTAAATCGCAGTTCCACTGTGCAGTTATGTTACATATTTTTTGTTACTTCAAGCAAATTCACCAAAGTATTCAAAATTCTAAAACAATGAAGAAATTTGATATTTGAGCAAAACTTTTCCTTAGAATAAACTTTGGAAAAGTTTCTTGAAGATAGTTATTGACTGAGACAAAATACTGGGACAATGAATTTAGGAGGAAAGATTTATTTTGGCTCATGGCTTTAGAGATTTTAGTCCCTTGGCCCTGTTGACTTTGGGCTTGTGGCAGTCCAGTACCTTACAGGACTGAGCACCTGGTCTAGGAGGCATCTACATCATGGCAATTGAGAAACAAACAGCCAGGAAGGGGCAAGGGTCCCAATATCCACCTCAACTACACCCCCCCCCCAAATTATGTAGCTTTCTCCAACCAAGTGCTGCCTCCTGAAAGTTTTATCAGTTCCAAAGAGCACTTGGGAGGCACTTATCCGAGCATAGAGAGGGGTTCTTGACTAACAACTGGAATATTTACCTTTAGTATACCCTATGCACATGAATGTTGAAAGAAACCTTAACAGAATATCAAAGTAGCTTTTATTTCTAAGTAGTTCTTAAAAATTATTCACCATAGAACTATATTTAACATCATAGAACTATATTTAAAGGAAGAAAAAACCATATTGCTCTACCAGATGACTCTATTGGTTGGAAATGTTACTGATAAAATGATAAAGTTTTGAAATTTATTTTGTTTCAGGAAAAATAAATTAATTTTTAAACATCCTGGCAAATTAAAAACAAACAATAGAACAATCAGATCATAGTGTATCATTTATCCTTATATACTAAGTCAAAGAAAAATATTAAATGCTAAATTATTGTATCAGAGCATTATTAGTATAACTTTAGAGGAAAAATAGAAAGATTTACTTTTTATTCATTTCTTTTTTGTAGACTTGGGGTTTTTTTTCCCCACTAGGAAATTATTTCTTAAATTGAGAAAATAGTTCCATTTTAGGAGCTAGGGACTGTAAAACATCTTTCTCTATGTTTGTTAATTTCAGATTAATTATTGACATGGTTATTAAAACTATATTTTTCTAAAATACTGATATTTTTCCATGTACTTTTGTTTCTTGTAGCAAGAAAGGAAGTGTTAACTTGTTAAGAAACTGCACCAATTTTTATATGTACTAATTTAAAACTTAACTTTTGAAATGAGCAAAAATTTATTTTGTACTCTTAGTTCATCTTACAACTGTCAACCTGAGAATGAAGTAATGATAAAAGACCTTTGCAGATTGTTTTTTCATACACAGCAACTATAAAATAACTCTATGTAACCTTCATCAAATAGTACAGTATATGGGAAAAACTATATACCTTGAGCTTTTCATTATTATAAAGGTATTATTACCCTACTTTCCCCCCCCCCACAATGAGGAAGATTCTCAATGAGCTATATCCCCATCTGTTTGTTTATTTTTTTACTTATTTATTGAGATGGGTCTTACTAAATTACTACATTGCCCAGCCAGGGCTACTTTCAATTCTCCTGTGTCAGCCACCCACATGCTGGGGTTGCCCATCACACTGAGCTACACGCTATATCTTGTTGTATATATTTCCTACATATTGATGGGTGTATATGCATGTGTGTGTGTGTGTGTGTGTGTGTGTGTGTGTGTATTTAAGTGTATGTATATGTTCTAGGTAGAGCTTTTGTGCATAATTAGTTTTAATATGAATTTGTTCACCACAGCTAGCATGTTCATTTTTAAAAAATACATATTTTTTTTCTGTGCTGTTAGGAATTTTGGAGAAATCCAATAAGGAAATTATGACAGAAAAGCCTAGACCAAATGAACCTAGTATTTCTTCAGAGCAATTGCTACCAGTAAAAGAGGTAAGAAATTTTATTCATAAATAATAGCACCATCATGTCTTTGAATCCATTATGAAAAATGTTTTAAGTTTTCCTCTTTGCCCCCCAAGTTTTTCTGTTTATGAATTGGCTTATCAGTTTTTGACAAAAATCAGTTTAGTGATACGAGGGTTCTCCTGCAGTCTGTTCTGGGAAAGTACAGAAATCAAGGGGTGTTTGTTCCTATCCTCAGTCAAGGTCTGCACTTTGAGAATGTGAGCTGTAGACCATTACTGAAAAATGAGATAACGGAAGTAAAGAAGAGTAGAGAATAATTGTCTGAACCAGCCTTTATTTTTGTGTACCCAGCCTGTGCTTGCTTAGCGATGCATTACCAGTCTCCTGCTGCTCTGTTTCTATACTGTAGAGAGTCATGTCTCCTCGGCACTGTTGCTGTTTCGGTTCTGGGAAGTCCTGGTTAATTAAATGCATGATGGAAGATTGCAGTGCAGGAGTTGCAGAGAAACAAGAATATTTCTTCCACTGTCCCCCTCAGGGACAATCTCTGGCAGTGGCTGAGGCTTATTTATCTCCTCCATGGTCTCTCTGAGTCCTCTGCACTCCCTGCATGATTCCAGTAGCTCCTGGCTGGTCTCGCGTTGGCTTTAGCTTCCACTGGTAGCCCAGGTTCTAGTCTCTCATGGCTTATTACTTTCTCTGCTCCTCTGGCTATATGGGTGGCTGTAGTTTTCTTTTCCATTAATGCTTCACAGTCTATGTATGGTTTCTCAAATGTTCCATCACCTATGTAGCCAAAACCCTACGTTAAATTCTTTCTTTTGAAATACCTTGAGTGGTTTCTGTTTTCTTAAGGGTTCTTGACTGATACAAATATTTTAAAATGCAAACAAATACATAGATTTACCAGAACTTTAACCTAGGTAGCAATAACAGTAATGAGGAAAATTCAGAATTATACAATGTGTATTAACCAAATATCAAAAGCAATACTAAGAAATTATTATTATGTAATAATAGAGATTCAACAAATTTATACTTTGTACACAAAAGATAAAGTCATAAAAATTGCTGTTTTTTTCTTGGATCGACCATTAGATGCTCTTTATTTTAACTGGAATATGTATAATGCCTAATATTGACTGGGAAGTGCACAAGTAAGCAATTTTTTATGAAAAATTAGACTTTTAGAAGAAAGTTTCAGTAAACATTTCCAATTTTCCATTTAAATGCAACTATTAATGTGTGGAAATGTATTATAATTGCATGTAGATTATTATGGGCAAAAATAATCATCACTGTACCAAAATAAAGAAACAAAGTTTCACTGCCACCACTACAATTGATGACGATTTAAGCAGAAAAGATTCTCTTGCATGATAGTAATAAATAGATATGTCCCTGATGAAGAAACAAAAAATCAGTGCTTTTGTTTGTTTTCATTTTCATGGAACAGCATTCCTCTGTACATTTATATGATAAGTGCAACCAAAAGAATTCCTGTCATGGCACAGAGCTATCTTCATTCCACTCTGAAAGTTCCACTTATCAGAAAGGAGAGTCTGTACACTTAGTAGATTCCATTATTGGTTAATTTTATGCAAATGTAAAACAAAAAGATGTATTTCAGGCCCATGATGTTAAAGGTTCAAATAGGCTTTAAACAGGCAAGTTCAGGCACACTGTATTATGACTATAATGAGAATAACAGCAACTTTTTCTGATTATAGAGTCATGACTTCATACAATGTTAGCTCTAAGAAATGAATCACCTTTATTATTTTGTACAGTATATATAAAAAGCTTTAAATTAATGCTGAGCAGAATATGCATATAAAAAATTAGGCTAATGATCGTAATTTCAATAATTTTATTCTAAAAGGGAGCTGTAGAAATCATTCAATTCTTCTCCTTTTTAAAAATTAAAATCCTAGGATCAAGGAAAATAAGCAATTCAGTCTTCTGAATTTACAGTTGTGAAATGTTACCATCAATAAAGTTACATTAAAATAGATACAGTATACTCCTTAGCATAGGATCTGCATAGTATTCATAAGTTTTTGGTACTTTCAAGAGTATTAGGGGACTTAGGGAAAATAAACATTCATAAATTTTATTGCCATATGAGACATAGACAAAGGAAAAAAGAAAAAAAAAAGACAAAAAACATGACAACCCCTCCACGCCTTCTACTCCTCCCACACACAGAGCAATGCAGACTGTTTTATTCATTTCTTGGAAGAAATGTAGCAGTGCCTGCCACGTCATGGGTGGAGATGCTAAATAAAATTCTAAGCAAGTAAAAATCCAGAAAGGTACAGAGGTGTGTTTTCTGTGAGAAATTTATTTTTCATTGCTATTTTTGGCCTGTCTGGATTTTGAGATTAAAAATGAAATCAAAGGTTGAATATTAAATGGTGTCATGTTGCAATATTTGTTAACAATAAACTATAAAAATCTAATTTAGACTTTATTAAATATATTGAGTTTAAAGGTTGCTTTCTGTGATAAACTGTAAGTGTACCTTTTGGCTCTCATAAATATGGTTTTATTGAACCATATTTAAGAGATTAAATTTTTGAAAAAAATTTTTGATTAAATCTACTGATGAATTAAAATGAAATGTCAGTATATTACTGTGTATAAAGAATGCACATGTTTTGTATATTGCTTTATTCACTAGGTAATATTTTTGAGGCTATAAGAATAGTTTTTACAGTGTATCAGAGAACACCTATATTCAGTGTGTTGAATGAAAGCAGTAATTTTGAATCTATAGAAACATTTGTTAAGTTAGGATCAATATGACTTCAAATAAATTTGTTATTTCAGGCTACTTTATTAGATTTTGGCTGGAGAAATGCATTTAAAGAGGTGTCTCTTCCCATGGCACACTGCATAAACACTACAGTTGAAGATATTTCCTCAAAAATTCTGGAAGAGGAGCAGAGTGAAAGGTCTTCATCTGTGAGCTATGTTATGAACCTTGTAAATGTCCAACAAGTCTGGAAGGACAATCATGTGTTTCCTGAGGAAGAACAACCAAAGAAAATAGCAAAGGCAAGTACCAACTGAAATCCTTTCAAATTGCTGCTGTGTAGAATGGGATTTCTTTTCTTGTTTCTTTTCTAAATCTAAGTCCTTGACAGAGGAACCTGCAGATCAAATTGTGGAGTCTCTTGGCAAATACCTGATCCAGTACAATTATATTCTCTGCTGTGCATGGGTTACTGCTACCAAAAAGGGTTTATACCTCTTGCTCACTTTTTGGGTAGTCTGAAGCAATGGAAAAGGACCTCTGGGACTGAAAAGGAGATGGAAAACAGCCTGTTTTGATTTTAGCTTTGAATGACTCTAGGAGAAATGTAGAGGTTGAAGATGACAATTGTCTTTTCTTGGTTATAGTAATTAAAATATCTTTATTTATACCTAAATGGACCTTCCATGTCACTAGCATCAGTCTGAATATGTTTACCCGTGTTTTGATAGTCACAAAAATACTGAGCAAATAAGAAGTAGGCAAGTGTTGCTAAATATAGTCACTCAGCACCAAGTCCCTCCTGACTTGAGGTGCTAGAACATTTCCTAGGGAGCTACACTGGCTTCCCTTTCCCGCCCATCCCACTCAGCACCGTTAGAGAAGGCAGATCCACAGTAAAAAGTGAAAAGCCAGGCTCTTCCCTTCTGAAAGCTGCTGACTCTTTATCAACATGAAAACGCCATAAGATTATTTCTGCTGCTTCTTATTTATTTAAATTAAACTGGTATTTATAGGTAGTATTTGACATAAAAATTCAATGAAAATTTAGCGAAAGAAGATTAGGATAATTTAAAAAACAATGTAAACAATATCAAGGACATATTTTCTGAGATCTGTTAACTACCTAAAAAGGGGTATTTGTCAAATGAAGTGGTTTCTGAGTTTTCTATAATGTCTGCCTGGTAAGTATAAAGTTTGAAGGTTATATATAGAGAAGCATCAGTTTGGTATTTCCTTATTTGACATGAAACACTTAACTTTCTGCAACTGAGAAATTGATTATTACATAGCTGCGTCACTGTATTTATGTTTGATGCCAAATTCATTATTTAGGAATTTGGCTCTATTGTACATAAATTACATGGTGCTGTCAGAATACAAATAACTCAGTGCCACATTTATTTCTCCCTAGTTTTGTTCTGACATCATGGAAAAACTTGACACAATGCTTCCACTGGCTCTGGCATGCAGAGATGGTTCTTTTCAGGAAATTAGAGCAAACTTGGTGGAGGCCTGTTGTAAAGTGGCAACAGCTGTCCTGGAAAGACTGCAAGAGAGAAGCAAGGAGGTTCCTTCCAGAGCACCCCTGAAAAACCTACTCACAGTCCTCTCCACCGCGGTGTATGTCTTCCAACACTTCACTCAGTATGATAATTTGATGAAAGAAACTACTCAGAAGTGAGTGTTATTTAAATTGATACTCATGCTTAAAGAAACATGTAATCTTCAGATATTGCCAGAGTGAAATTTTGATGATAATATTTGAGCAGGAGAGAATAATAATTAGCATGGCAAATTATTTTCATTTGTCTTGACTAGAAAATGTCAAAAAGGTGGAACCCGGGGCATACTAAACTATATACATAGACAGTAAAAAAGGATATCTATATGAAGGCACATTCAAAAAAGCAGCTATTTTCTGTGTTTCTTATCATGTGATTAAGTGTAGCTCTTTCACATGATACTGACCACACTGAAGAAAAAAAAAAAGAAAAAAAAGAAAAGAAACTTTTTGGACATACGCATTGGTGAAATATTTACTTCTCTCTTCTGTTTCTAAGCCAACAAGCTGTTAGGAACCGCCACGGAGGGAATAAATGTTTTTTCCTCTATTTTAATGACTAGGGTAAACATATTGCAGGACTCTATTTAGTAACTGACTATCTGTAATGTTTGAAGAGGAAGCATCTACCTATCTTGACTCTCATATACAGCAGTTTAAAATTACAATATGTTTTGTGTAGAGAGATAAAATTTACCATAATTACTATCATCACACTCTCCAGAAGGGCATGTGACCCTTTGTGAAGGGAACATGTGGATCAAGAAGTCCAGTGTGACCCCCAAGAATTTATTCTATATTCTTTATTCAGCTTTCAGCGCATCTTAGTTAAGAAAGAAAATAGTGCACTATAAATAGCTGAAGATAAAAATAATTTTGGCTTGTTGTGGGAACTAGCTATGATATTTCTTTAATTCTCATAAGTAATTAGATGTTGTGATTCATACTTGAATTTATAAACAAAATGTGTCAGAAATCACTTTATTTTTGTGGGATCTTTAAAAACAGTTTATGAGATAATTGGCATCTACAAAATTACAATTCTTTAAATAAAAAGACTGCATGTGGCATGTGTGATTGCTTTATAAAAGTTAGTTCTGACAAGTGTATGTTGTTCTCTGGTAATCACGATAACCTAATGCCTAAATAATGCACCCATCTCTAATAATAGGCTTGCAAAAAAATACTTTGAGCTTTGAATGATGTATCGACAATGCAGTTTGTCTCAAGTTGAAGTGCATATTTGTAGAACAGCAGATGTACGTTTTCAAAGGGCTTGCAAAACAAAGACCAGGGTTTTTTTTTCCTCTCCCCCTTTCTTTTTAGAAAGTGAATGTGGATGCGGGTTTCAGCATTAGGAGGAAATGAATGATTGATATCTAATAATCAAAACCATTTGTAGTCCTGGAGATTGTTACCTCCTACTGCACAGGCCTTAAATCTCTGTCTCTTTGATCATTCCCTCCGAGCAGACCCCTATTCCTGGTGCCTGTCCAACGGTATCAGGAATTCATCAACACGCTACAGTTTCAAGTTACGGACTACTGCATCAGAGTTTGTGCTACAAGCATTTTACAGGATGCTGAGAGCCACCACTGGGATGACTACAAAGCTTTTTATGAGGTGTGAAGTTAAGTTTACTACCCCTCCTTTTTACACAAATATGTTTTACTGTCTACCTGCTTTTGGGCTAATTAAAAACATGAGATTGGCGTTACTCACATACGAAGGCTGTTAGGATAATATTTTTTAAATATTGAATTCGTGCATAGAGAAAACAGTTTTTAAAAACCTGAAATAAATTAGACATCAGAACTCTCCTTCTGCTTAAAAGTAAAAATAACTTAATTGAGCTGCAATGTTACTGTACTGTATAAATTGGAGTATAATGAGATAGAATGAAAAAGCTAAGAGATAATACCAAAACCCCTTGTTTTCCAAAGGTGTCAGTTATGGCTATCCTTGCAGGGTTTTTTTGCCTTGTATATTTCCTTCTGTGTTTGATAAGTAGTTTTTGTTAAGTGGCTTTATTTTTTATTCTGATTTTTTCTCTTTTCATTCTCATGAGTATGCTTTAAGCCAACCTCATCTGATCATTTATAGCTTACCTATTTTCATTTAGCCCATGATTTGAAATCCCACATTTCTCCAAGTTAAATCCCAGTGAGGCCCCATACACTTGAATTGTGGATAAATTAAAACGATTCACCATCAAGCTTTATGAATGCCTCCATCTTTGAATTCTATAGATGTTACCTACAGAGCACAACGCTTGAAATTCCTCAAAGCTGATTCCATTGAAAAAGTGAAACGTCTGTAATATCTTAATAAAAGACAATGGAGAGGTTTTTAATTCCACAGCCACTCCTAACTTCCTTAGCTCTTCTGTTTCACCTTTTCATCTGAATCAAAGTTTATGATTTTTGTTTCTCTGGATCATTTGAACCACAATGGAGTCTTAGTAACAGAGCAGGGTTTTATTCGGTAGTTGCTCCTGTCACCTTCCTGGAGTGAAGATCCCCATGGCTCTATTTATGCCTGGGTTATCATAATAAATGTTGCTACAACACAGAGGAGAAGCTAATAAGAAGATCTTTTAGAGCGCCTTTCAGTTTTTCTGAGGCCATTTCATCTCTCCTTTAGAGGCTCTTCCCAGATAGCTTTGCTTTTTGCAAGAGCATCCATACAGGGCTTTCCAAACTTGACACACTTCAAACAGTAGTGGCAGCAGTGAGCAGACTGAGAAAGAAAGTGGTGTGGTACAGCTGGGAGCCTGAGATAAGAATGAAAGTGTTGGTCTTCCCCTCTCCTGGCAGCATCCTTATTTGCCTTGAGGAATAAAAAGGTTGAAAATGAATCCATCTCATGTTTCAAACTATTTCAATATGTCAGGTTACTAATGAGCAATTTTGTATGATGTTTTCAGTGAAGAACAGGTATCATCTCTATATGTTCAATAGAAGGATATTTTGTTTCCTCTTATGCAAATTGGAAACTAGAATAGTTGTATAGTATAAATAATAAGTGGATGTATTAAGAACCTGTTATCGAAGTTACCAAGTATTTAGAAGAAAAAAACCCACCAAATTACCATGTAAATGCAACACACAGCTCTTAAATCTTATGACAAGGCTTTGGCTGTAAAGACAGAAATAACAAGGTAGTTACCCTGTGATTACACGATACTGTAGCTTCCATATACTTACGTGGTCAGTAGTTACAATTTAATTGCAGAGTTAGTGATTATTATTTATGCTTAGCAAAATAAAGTGATACTGCTTTTCTATTTACCAAAAATAAGATCCTTCTAAAAATAGCACAGATTTCACACCATTTGACACATGGTGTACCTGCTATGGTTTTAGCTTGCTTTCTGCACCCTTTCTGCTCCTCTCCCTGTTCTGCTCCTCTCACCTGAGCTGTGGAAGAGAAGTACTGTGTTTTCAGTCGCCTGTTAGGAGAGGGAAGGAGATGCTCTCTACTTGGCTGCAGGCAAAGGATAGGATAGAGATCTCAGGAGAGCGTATCACCATGTGCAGAGCACAGTAGAGCAAGAGTAAAAGAATTTAACAGACACAGGACGATATTTGCTCATGTTTTGTGTTAGCAACTAAGCCCCAGGTACATCATTTCCATTTTCTAAACTGTCAGGTTTAAGAGTAAAGAGGTGAGTGTCTCCCTTACAAGGTGCTGGCCACAAGGGACAACGGGTGTTCAGATTACGTGTTTAAAATTAAACTCAGTAAAGTTGATATTGCTCAATTTTAGAAACTTGTGTTTTCCAATAGTGACAAAATAAAGAATTGTCTGTTCAATGATAATATCGAGTGGCTTATATAACAAAGCCCAGCTGCTTGTTTCCTGATATGTAATCTAAATAAAAGCCCACATCTATTTACATTACAGTGGGTCTGCAAAAATAACAGATGTTTACTAGCAGAATACTTTTGAAATGACAACAAATAAGGAAACAGGTCAGAAAAAAATGGATGAATTGCATTTAGTTTAATGAAAACCCATGCACACATGGAAGTTGTATGCATTTTGAAGAGAACTATTGAATAAAGACCATTTTGGAATATTCTTAAGGAAATATGAAATTTATATTTTAAAAACTCTTAAAAGGAGTATTTTTTTTTACTTTTAGGAGATTAAATCTGTATTCATAATGCTATATTTAGTTTCCCATTTATGACTTAAAGTTAAATATTCAAGAAATTTGGGTTTCATATTTCAATGATTATGGTATGATAAATCCTGTTGATCCCATTACGATAAGCTCCTGTTCATTGTCAAGGGGAAAGTTAGGATGAATCTTTCATACTACACACCACATGGATTCTTTTCTACACAACATACAAAGTAGGAGGGACTCAGGAATCAACCTTTAAACCCCATCCTTAATTCAAAAAGGGTTCTTTATCACAGAATTCATGCCACAAAGAAAGCACAAGAAGCTGTAGTGTTGTTGCTTTAGTATGATCATGTTTTCCTAACCAGTCTAGATGCACATCTAGCTAGGAAGTCAGAAGCCAGTACTCAAAGTCTCCTTTGATTGGAACTTGACTCTGACGTTTGTTGCCACATTTCTTGTGCAAGGAAACAATTCTTTTTCTTGCATTCTGTTTTTGCTTTATTTGAAATTTGGTTGGGTAAAGTAAAAGCACACATTTCACATGTTAAAATTTCCAAATAAAATTTACTGCAATGCTTGTAGCATTTAATTTATGCTGTAAGACAGATTCCACAGGGAACTATATAAAACCCTTGAGGAAAAACTTCTGTGGTTTAAGGTGGGACTGATTTCTTTTGTTCTTTTGAAAGAAAATGAGAGATGATATCTGGGCAAAATAAAGGCAAGGAACAACAATTCTCCTCATTTATCAGTGCCATTTAAAAGTAGATAGATAATATCTATAAATTATTATTACAGTGACTACAAATTATTTCAGTAATCAAAGAAACTGCCAGAAGAACAGCACATGGTGAAAATACTTAAATCTGCATAAGAAATCACCAACTTTTGTTATGAGAGAAGAGCAGATGATTTTTAGATGACATTTATTTGGACCTGTGAATAGTGAAGGGAGCAACAATTTTATGTCAAAGTGAATTGCTACTCTTAGAGATAAAGAAGGACATCTCACTATTTTAATTTTTGATATATTAACATAATAGGGATAATGTTTGAAGAATGCATTCTACTCTTCTGTTTCAAATAAGTTTTTGATCTGGTCTGAAGAAAATAAGGTCAAACAGCTAGTGAACCTCCCATGAGCATGTTACTTAATTAATACTCAAAAATCTTGGGGTCTACCTTTCAGTTTCTGCCTGTTTCCCTTGGCACGGGCCACTTAGGAGTCCCCCTCTGCAGTCAGGGAGAGTTAGTACACTGAAGAGTTTGTAGAGGGATGCATAACAGAGAATGTTGCTCCGTAAAGATGCCAAGAAATGATGGGAATATGTGCTTCAGCTTTTCAAAATCATGTAAAATCAGACTCCTCCTACTATGTGTTGTTGGCTACAGTACTGTTACTGAAATGCCACAGGAGAAAGAGTCTAAGATAATAATCTTCAATAGTTACACTTCACTCTTTTATTTCATGAATATTAATAAGCTATGGATTGCATTTTATATTTATTTATTTTTGTCTTTTTGAGACAGGGTCTCTCTATACAGTTCAGGCTGGCCTTGAGCTCACTTTGTAGCCCAGGCTGGTCTTGAATTTGCAACAATCCTCCTGCCTCAGCCTCCCAAGTGCTGAGATTACAGGAGTACGCCACCACGCCTGGCATTATTTTTTCATAATGTGAAATCTGAAAGATTTATACAGTTATTCAGTGATGATAATAGTCTTAAAGATTTATACAGTTTAGCATTGATGCTAAAATTATGCCTTTTAAACAAACGTATACAGATTTTAACTTTATAAGAATCAGTTTATTATCTTAAACCAGCTAGCACAACTTGCTTAGCAGCTAAAAATCTCATTGCTTAAAAATAAAGTTTCAACACTAGGCCAGGTAAGTCAAGGATATGCTAAGTTAAATTCTTGTGGTCTGAATTTGCATTAGAATATCTGGTCTCATGATTGAAATAAAACATATGTTCCTCTGTCGATGAGGGTGTTTAACATCTTGTCAAAAATCTTTCTTGGTCATCTAGTGTGTCAGACTCTCCAGCTTTTTCCTTTCAGCCTGAACTAATTAGGTTCATAGGAAGTGAACTGACATTTTAGAAGATGTGATTCTATTGTTTAATGTGTGTTGTTTTGCCAGGGGGAGAGGTGCTCCTTCTCACTCCAGATGTGGCATTATTTCTACTGGGCTCTTCGTCACGATCTTTGGACCATTCTTCCCCCTACGTTAGCCCAGGAGATCCTAGCAGACATGCTGGAAAGATCCTTGGGTTTACTGGCTTCCAGATATGCTCAGGCCCATCCAAGTTATAAAAGAACTTCACAGATAAGGTAATTGAAGTTCTGAAAGCCATTTCTTTTCATGAAAACCTTTTCATCAGTTGATATAAAGGAGAATGTGATTCTGAATCTCACACCACAAGTCCTTGTGTAGATAACATATTTCTAACATCTGAAAGGAAACCGTGTTCAATTCTCTTGGGGTATTTAAGTGGAAATGTAGACCTTGAATCAAAATAACTTGGCTCTGTCTTTCTTCTTAAAATTGTGTATAGGCCTCATTCATGGCTAAGACCATATTGAAGATCTCTTGTAATCTAGGACACATGGACACAAAGGTTAATAAGATTAAGAAAGAAAATTAAGGTCTTGAAATGAAGAAAAAAAGCAACCATCCTGTGATTGAGCAGTTAATTTGACTTTGAGTTTCTAAGCCACCAAGGGATTTTAGTTTATTTTTCTTTTAAGGTTTTAAATATAGTAGTTTGTCTTCATTAAGGAGACTACTTTGTCTAATCATTTTTCTTCTTAATATAGTCTAATTCTTTTTTTCTTTTCCTTTATTTGTTTTCCATTCCCTTCCACTCTGTATTAATAAAGGCTGTTTCAGCAGCATGTGAAATAACAGAAATTAAAGAGCAAAAGTCACTGGGTTACTGGGTTTTAAATCAAAGGCTGAATTATACTGCAATTCTATGGGTTATTTAGCAGTGAATATTGTATTAAATAGCCTTACATGACAACAGTGATTTCTACGAAGAAAATACTTGCTTTAAATAATGCTTCCTCTAGGGTGATTAAGACCAGTCTTTGAGGTTTAAAATTTTTTTTCAGATGTATTTTAGGAGGAATCTACAGCGAAGAGCCCCTACCTTTTTTTTTCTTTTTTCTTTTTTCTTTTTTTTTTTTTTTTTTTTTCGTTCCTCAAGAAGAATCATTTCCTGATCATGTTCTTATAAAGTACTACAATTTGAAGGGCATTTAGGTCCTGGTACAGTGTTTCATAAATATGGTATTTTGCACAGGCTGTTTTGAATTACTACCCAAGCTATCTAAAAAAAAAAAAAAAAAAAAAAAAGAACTGAAGAATAGATGGAAAATTCCTTTTGAGAAAAAAGAACCCTTCATTCTTTTTCTTATGCAGTGCAAGTATGAGGTGGTAAGTCATTATGAGATTATTTGTGAAATCAGATTTACTGTCAGCTCATAAAGAAGATAGTATATTTAATTAATTAACTATGCTGTGGAGACTTTTGCCTTTTATTTTCTAGATGGTTACATAAAAATGCCAGAAAAACTAGAATTATTGCTTCTAGTTTTCATAAGCAAAATCTGTAAATATTTTAATTTGAGTGTTTAATCCTAAATTATCAGTGTAGCAATCAGATTGTGTGTGTGTGTGTGTGTGTGTGTGTGTGCGCGTGTGGGTGTTGGATTAATTTGGCAATTAGAGAAAATAAATAAGAGCTACTATTAAACCTTCCTAAAGGTAATTATTGATGCTTTTAGTATTTCAATAGTCACTGCATGTCATGTAACCCAAAACATGTATATATATATATATGTGTGTGTGTGTGTGTGTATGTGTGTGTAATATATTATTAATATATAACAATTCATTATGTATACTAAATTTGAGGCCTAAATGCCATTTTTTTCTTACCACTTTAAAATTTCCATTTTCTGTTTCTTCATCCCTGAATTTAAAAGAACAAAAGAAAGTAAACTGAGGTCTGCTCAATTTAGTCATATACAAAGAAAAAATCTTTAAATATAAATTTGAGTTCTTATTAAAATCCAGGAAAGAGGGGAAGAGGGCCAGAGAGTAAGTATGGTTAACTTGCACAGGATGTGGTTGGATAGGAAGAATAAGTACAATGTTTTATAGCATTTTGAGATAATTATGGTTGATGACAATTAGTTGATTATTTCAAAATAGCCAGTAGGATTTTGAATATTCGCAAAAGAAAGAAAGAAAGAATATATTATATTTCTAAAGTGATAGTATGCCAATTCACTAACTGACATTATCCACTATATTCATGTATTGTCACACTGTATCCCATAAATAAGTATAATTACTACATGTCAATTAAAAATAAAAATATATTTTAAAAATTATTAAAGCTTCTCAAAGGTGGAAACAAAAAGAAATAACTTTATGACTAAAATAACACAGAAAGTTTTCCATAACTGATAAAATATTGGGAATTCTGAAGTTATAAAATCTCTGTTTGTACTGTTCCTTTTTACCACTCTCTACTGGCCCAACACATTACCCTGCATGATAACTTGCTTTTGCAAGAGGCTGAGGAGAATTGTTCTGCTACCACATTTTCACCTACCACATATGTGTTGACAACAGCAAATTTTTCTTTGTATCTAGCTCTATTTTGCTCAATACAATTTCAAGGACAGTCTCTTGAATTTCTGGAGAAGAATCCTGATAATGCAAAGTAAATGTTTTTTAAAAAGCATTCCTTGAACACAGATACTTTTATAGACCTCACTATCTCTAAAGATGATGGTACTATGGGTAATTTAACACTCGGAAACTCAGAAGATATCTTTGATACTTTATTTTTTGATCTCTAAAACTCTGACATCTAACCAAATCTTTTCCACTCTTACATAGGCTTAGCATAAGAGTAATGGATGAAAATATATATGCAAAGTAGAAAGATTATGCTGTTTAACATGATTCTTTTTCTTCTTAATAGACTTGATGTCACAACAATTTTGATATGCACTGAGAACATGTTATGGTCCGTTTGTACATCTGTACAGAGACTACTGAGGCCTCAAGAGTATAAGGATAATAAAATCTTTAAAATTCATATCCATTGTAACAATCTGCTTACAACATTAGCCATTTTGACCTCACCATTAAAAGAATTATATAAGTAAGTATCAAATATGTATTATTTTCAGCTATGTTAATATGTAACATAATGTGTTTAACAAAGGTCTTTTCATGTCATTTATCAAATTGTGTTAAGTAGCAAGTAAATTTTTGCAAAACCCTTTGTGATATATTGTATGCATTGGTATATTTTGTAAGATGGCATCAACCAACAGAGATTCTTTATTCTCAAAGCAGTTTAGTCACCATGAATGTTGCATCTCTACTCACCAATCCCATTCAGTTGGTAGGGTTTACTTTTGAAAAAGGTGATCAAACTACCTTTGTGAGTTGCTTATCTTACTTATTGCTTGATACTATATAAAAATCACATGTAGTTGCTTTTTGCTCTTTCAAAAATATGTTTCAGTTTTTAACTCTATATAATTTGCTCTTATAAAAAATAAACTTTAAAAAATTGCTAAAATTTGCACAACTCTAAGAGACCTAATAGCTTCACACTTTCAATGATATCTGCTGTAGATTTGTGCTTTTAGTAGTAGAATTTAATGTCTTAACTAGTAGCAGAAAGTGGAAATAGAAATAAGTAATTGCATTAAAAGAGGTTAACATTTTACTTAGATAAACAAGACTCAGAAATTAAAATTTTTGAATAATTTTGATTTCAGGTTAATCTGACTCACATTTGTAATGTTATAGAAGAGACTGGAATGGCTATTAGAATTTAAGTATTGATATTTTAAAATCCTCCTCAAATGCTATTGATTTCACATTAAAGAGTAAATAATTGTATGTTTTTAGTTTCTTAACAAAAATTTCACATAATATTTCTACTTAGGCTAGTGAGTGAAATATTGCTTTCTGTAACTTTTTGATAAAGATGGTATATATACCATGCTTTTCTTTTTTTATTTTATGATTTTCAATAAATTTCAAGACATTTGTCTTGTATATCCTAAGAGTAACTAATAACTTTAGTTTGAATTTCCCAATAGTTTTCACCTGCTTTTTGACTTTCAACAAACTCGTTGTTTATAGAATATTGCTTCTACCAACTCAAGTGGAGAACGAATTTAAAAAATGGAAAATTCTTTCAACAAGGGAAAGAAATAATGAGATAAATCTCCATAAGGTTAAAATTATATATATAATGGTTCATAATCATAAAATGCTTAAGTATGAATCCCATAATAAATCCTGGTGAACTAAACTGCTTTACCATAAACGAAAAAATTACTATGCTCTCAGTTCACTGAGTCATTTCATCTAAGAGGAAGGCCCTATGAAAATCAGGAACAAAGTTGACAAATTTCATGGCTTGGTCATGGTGAGCAGTATTGAATTTCATGGTTTGTCACAGATGAATTGAAAAATGTTAACCCCCCAATGCATTTGTAAAACAAATAAATTATTATCAAAGATTGCATACTTTAATAATTATTGTGTCACATACATTCATTATTGTTAACCTATGGCCTTTTGAATCATTTTTTACAATTGTGAAAATACTCAAATCTTTGTGATTTGTATATTAGATATTGCACTGAAACCTGATTCAGCAAATTTAAATTGCTAATTTCAACCAGGATTACAGAACATTTTACACCAAGCACTGTTTGGATTTTCTCAATATAAAACATAGATAGCTATATTGCTTTCTAGTATGAATAAAGATCTAGCTATATTTCCACTTCTTTTAAGTAATTCTCAATTCAAAAATTCACGTTTTATTTTTATGTTGATTTAAATTTTGTTTACTAGAATACAAATCTTACCGTAGAGATAGATTTTTGGCTTTTGCTGCCAGAAGAAATTTACAAGGCAGCATATTCTTTGCCAGCTAGGGAAAAACATATGTATTTTGCAAGAACCCTATTGCCTCACTGCATTTCTGTTCACAGCTGAAATATTAAGTTGTCATTAAAGTTTTTTTAAACATTGTCTGTCTCATTTTAAAAATTAAACCCTGTACTTTGAGGAATTGGTGAAAAGTAACAATCAGTTGTTGATAGTATCGAATTTTTATAAACTTTACCTACCATTAGTCATTCGCTATGACGTGCCTTTTTTCAAAGGAGACTGTCTTTATTTCAAGTAGCTCTGACAGAAAAACTGCAAGTGTCTTCCTTGCTTAGCTTGGTGTAGGACCACTAAGTCCCAGGGCAGAAACACATAAGTTTAAAATCTCTTCAGGAAGAATAAAACCTGTTTGCGAACATGTGTGTGTACATTTTTTAAGTTGCCTTTGTAGATTTCTGTTCAAATGTTGTGTGAGAAATACCTCAGATTTGTCCTGCAGGAAAAGAGACCTACTGAACACAAAATATTCACCATGTGTTTTCCCAAGTGCTGCTCATTTGTGGTTCTTGTGTGAGAGCAGCTAAGCCATACGTTTGGAAGCATATTCACATGGCCACTCACACGCATCCCGTGCGGCGGTGGCCTGTGCTGCATAGACGCATAGGTGACTTATTTGTGTTTGAATATAGCAAGTTAAAAATTGTTAGAGGCCTTTAGTTTGGGTCACTGTTACACACGTCCCATGGAAAGGTTCAATTTCCAGTACCTTTCCTGCCCCCAAAATTCACTTCTAAATTTTCAGTAAATAGAATTTGATTTTAATGCAATGAGCATTGTTGGGACTCTGTAGGAATGTAAGAGTAACAAGATGTGACACCTGAAGTCATTCAGGAAAGTCTGATGAAATGTTTAATGTCTATAATCAAATAATAGAGTCGCACCTTTCCTAAATGTTTCGATGTATCGTATGAAAATTCCTTAAAGTAGGAATTTTTTGAAAGTTGAGTGCGTCAACATTTAATGGCATGGAAAAGCAAGATTACAGCACTCGTGCTGATACACCGGCCAGGCTGAGGTCCTCGGCGATCGGCCAGACAAAGGGTTGGCTCCAGACCAGGAACAGCAGACCCATCCCATACCCCCTAGGTGTTCCTCTCAAGTTTTATGAACCCCTAAATTCCTAGAGATTCCCATGCTGTGCCTGTCACTTTGTTTCAAAATAAGATTAAATCTTTCGTGGTTATATTCTTAGCCTATTTAGTTTTTTCTTTTTTCCTTAGCTATTGTATTATCTCTCAGAACACAGATATTTTGGAGTAAATTTTTCCATACATCAAGAATGACTGACACCATTTGGGAAATAGTTAAGCAATTCCTCATAATATTAATATTGAATGTGCTTGTGAAAAATTTTAAGCATACGGTCTTATGACCTAGGAATAAAAACATGTGTCCATGCAAAGATTCACGCAGCAATGTTCATAGCAGCATCTTTCACAATAGCACAAAGTTGTGTAACCCAAATTCAATGAACTGGGGAGTAGTTAAACAAAAGATAGCCAATGTATACAGTGGAATATTATGCAGCAATAAAAAGTCATATAGTGAGTTCTAATATACAGTTAGAATGAATGTCAAAAACATTATGTCAAGTGAAATATAATACAACATAAAATATGTAACAAGACACTTTTCATTACTTTTATAAGAAATATCCTGAGTATGTAAATTCTTAGAGACAGGAAGTAGACTGGTGGTTGCCAGAGGTTGAAGAGAGAAGAAAAAGCTCAGCGGCATAAGTGCTTGCCTTGCAAATGTGTGATTGTGAGTTTGATCCCTAGTACCGATAAAAAAGAAAAAGACAAAAAAAAAAAAAAAAAAAGAAATGTTCTAAAATTAGATAATAAAGTAGGTCACACAATTCTGTGAAACGTTTCAGTTGTATAATTCTGATGTGTATGATGAATGATATGTCAGTGAAACTTTAAAACAAATATAGGTTGAATGGGAATAAAAATATTTAAATATAAAAAGAACTGGGCATGGTGGCAGTGCGTGCCTGGATCTTGGCACTCTGGAAAGCTGAGGTAGGAGGATCACAAGTTCAAGTCCAGCATGGGTGACCTATGACTTAGACTCTCTCTGAATCTCTTTCTCTTTATATGTAATACAAAATAGATAAAAGTATGTAACATAAATATAGTATATTTGCATTTAGTTATAACATAGTCTCACTATCCAGGGCAGGCTGTCCTTGAACTCCCTATGTAGCCCAGGCTGGTCTTGAACTTGCAAGGATCTTCCTGCCCCATCCTCCCGAGTTCTGGGATTACAGTTGTGTGCCACCATCCCCAGCTATTTGTACACATTTGTGTATATTTAGGGAAGCAATCTCCATGTGCTGAGGGGTCCTGAGTGTGAAGGTGCTCAGTGCAATCCCCAGTCCTAAATAAATAACTTCACTTTCTTATCTCAGCCATTTTGTTAGGTGAGGAATATCCTTTGTGTGCCTCCCTCTACTCATTTCTAAAGGGAAATATCTTTTAAAACACAGAAAATCAAACAGGTTTATGTGTGAGCCTAGCAAGGTCAAACGCTGCAAAAGGATATGCTGTTGATTTGGGGGCTGGCCTGCACCCTGGGTCTTGGGGGTTTCCCGAGACTCGGCCTTGTTTTCTCGTCCGCCTGCTTCCCGCTCTCTGCCTGCCCTTCGCTGTGTGCTCTTCCTGGTGGTCCTGCCTTCGTCTTCCTTTCTGGCAACATCTTCTCTTCTTTCATCCTTTTGTCCCCTCACCATGTATTTGCTATAGTCACCAGGAATGAGGCATTGTGCCAGGCATTTTCTATCTTAAAAGCATCCTTTTCTCATCTCAGAGAGGCATTTTCACTATGAGAAATTCAAGCCAGAAGGCAGAGGGAATGTAGCGAACCATAGTTTACTTAGTGTTTTTACCTTGATCTCTCTCACTTAATGGCATTTGAGCAGCATTTGGCCCTAGAGGTAGCACTGTTTTCTTTTTAAAGCGAAGCAATGACTTTAAAATTCTCTTTAAATCTTGAAGTGGTTCGAATGTGGTAATTTCTACATATTCACAATTGCTCAGGATTTGCGAGGCCATCAGAGAGGCTCACCTGTCTGTGTTCAGTTCTCCCATGAGTTCAAGTCCTACCTCAGTAGTACCATTTCAAACCGATTCTTCTGCAGCACTTTTGGTCTTCTGTTGGTATTTTTATTTATTGAACGCTTTCACTGGCCCAGTCCCCCTGTGGGTTGTGTGATGGTTACCTCCTGCCTCGTGAGGCCTCCACCTGCATAGAACTCATGCACTTGGGCTACCTTTATTCCTTAGGGCAGGTTTATGCCATTCGCATCATATTCTGAGGTCAGATCCTGCTACAAGAGCAGCCAAAATCAGAGTCGTGCAAGGAAAGCATACATCGAGCTATGTCTTTTTAGCTTTGAGTTATTCTCACTTTTTATGTGTCCTGGATTTATTTCCCACCAGTGGTTGGTCCAGGAAGCCAGTCTTTCTGTGTGGTAGGAAGCAGGGTGTAGCATACTTGCAGCTAAGAGAACCAAAAGAAACTGAACCCAGGAGCGAGTGCTGGAGGGCTAGGTAGGGTAGGGTCAGCCCAAAGGCAGCATAATGTGAGCGAGAGGGATGGTGCTTGGTTTATTGATGTTGGAGGAAAGACAAAAGCAAGGACCTTCCCCAAAGTCAATTTTCCCCCTATCAAAGATACTTGTATAGTCTGTGAATTTGAAAGTGATCAGAAATGTATTTGCCTTCCACATGTGGACACTTATTTTTAAAGTATTTAAATTTGCAATATCAGAATCCTTTTATAATTTTGCAGAAAATATATATAAAATATAATGCATTATATTTTATTCTCCACTATGAATTACTCAGAGCATTGCTATTCTTTTTAAACTGTATCCTGAAACATCATTAGAGGTTATCTAATAGCAAGCTCATAATTTCATTCCTCCACTGAGGCTTGTGGGCCAATTTCGCCCTGTTATACTCTCCAGAATAATGAAACTAATTTGGGATCTTGCTGTGGAATTAAAAGCTCTTACAGATCCCACCCCCTCTGAGACCATAAACATCTGTCATAACATGTCTTATAGCCAAATAACCTTTCTATTTACCAGTGTGCCTGAGGAACTGACAGGGAGTGAAAGGTCCTTGCAGCCATGTCCTGGTAAACACCATGTTGCCAGCAGTTTAGCTGAAGAAATTTTGGCACCTCTCACCCTGGCACTATTGTTAGACCCTCATTACTTTTGCTACTATAAGGATAAAACTATAACTAGGCAACAGTGCAGACAAGTGGGAGTTTGTGCCTGTTTTGAGATAGTCATAGACCTCCTTAAGATCTATTTGCACTTGTCATCATAGTGACTGTTTTTCTAGGCTGTACCTTTATTGTATAAGTGGCACTTTGTTAATTCTTTTATATGCTTTATTTAACGGACTTGAAGTGACCCATCCATCCCCATTTTATAAATGAGAAGACTGAGGCTAAGTAAATTGCCCGATTGCACCACATATCTAATAAAAAGCACACCCAGGACACAAACTCAGGCTATCTGGCTCCATCGCTCCTATCTATGCCTGCAGACTGCTTTTAAAGAACCTTCAGTGACCCCACCCTAAGGGCATGGAGCAGACAGAGGCGAAAATCAAATGTGAGAGGCCTGGAGATGGAGTTAAAGTCTATGAAGGAACAAGGCCAGAAGTCCAGGGAAGTGGTAAGGAGGGATCTGTTTAAAGGGCAGCCAGGGAGAACTTGTTAGAAGGTGATTCTGAGCGGGGCAGTCGAAGGAGCTGGCTGACCCCGCCTGAGGGGGCATCCCAGATAAGAAGGTCTTGGTTCTGGGAGAAATAAGGTGGTCGAAGAAAACTGGGAAAATGCAGATCTTTGCGGAAAGCTCAGAGAAATAGAGGGGAAGCAGGCATTGGCTATGGTCCTTTGTGTCACTGTCCATGTCTCCCAGTGCCGTCACTCCTTTGCAACTGCCTGCCCCTGCAGACCTTGCCACGCCTCCTGCAGCTCCTCCTAGCTCCGTCCTGCCTCCCCAGGGCCTTGCTGTGCATGTCTTCCCTGCGCCCTCACTTTGCTGGACCCTCGGCCCAGACCCTGTCACTGTTGGGAGTAGGCTTAGAAATGCTTTGCACCCCTTGACAGCCCTGCTTTTTGTCTGCTTTCTGGGCTGCTTCTCTTTTCACTCTTCTCCACTTTGCTCAACCCCCTACAGTGCCCCATTGGCCTTGGCTCTGTATTTTCCAAAGAAAATCCAGACTCTCGTGAATGTAGTTGAATGTCTCACATCCGTTCTTAATAATTACTTAAGCCTCTTCACTTCCAGATGCTTTGGCTGATCTCTAACTGATGCGTCCTTTTTCTGAACTAAGGCAGATCTTTTCACCTGAACACTTGATAACATTTACCTCCTACTCCTACTCGTTGACGTTGGTCTTTTAGATGTTCAGTCACGCATTGGATCCTGCCCCACGTGTCTCTTGCATGAAAATATTCCTCCTTTATCCTTGTTTCCACCTAAAACAGGTCACAAACATTGTCTCCACATTATGCCTGCCAATCACCTCGTGCTCTGCAAATGGACTTCTGCCCTGCTGCCGTAACAGAGAGGTGAAGTCACCCCTAAATACCAGTGGCTAACTCCAGGGCATTATCTCTGATATTCTTTCTTTGGGTGAACTCCTTCATTCCCATGGCTTTACCATTTTGCTGATGACTTCTATATGGATGTTTTCAAAATAGATGCTTCTGGTAAATGCTAGGTCAGTAATTCTCAATTCCTGTTGTGTGCCTCTTTGGATGTGTTTAAAACGCCTTTCACTTCCACAGTACATCTAAAATTAAGAAAAGTACCATTAATCCTGGCTGCCGCCTTTCCTTGAGTTTCCCCTTTTATCTCACCCTCATGTCATCTTCTACCCTGTATCATTAAGGCATGAATATTATTAATTTTATTAATTTAACATTTGTTTGTATTTGTCCCTTACTATTTCCTCCTCCCTAATCCACCTCTGGTCTAGGCTCTTAGCACTTCTGACCCGTGTAGGATGATACCATCTTCATTACCCGCGGTCCCCTGCATCTCTAGTCCACTCTCTGCACTCATTCTGAAGTGAATTTTCTCAGGTGTGCAGCCACTTGTATCATGCTGGGGCTGAAACCCCTCAGTGTTCCCTGTGGTACTCCCAAGCCCAGGCCCCCGCAGGTGTCTGTCTCATCTCCCTCCCTCCCTCTCTAGGTCATGCCGGAGATTGCATCAGATGGAGACCTTACAATCTGACTTTGAAAACAACTTAAGGAATTTTGTTCTGATCTGTAATTTACTGAGAAAAAAATAACTTTCAAGGAGAGGATGATATATTAAAAGTGTAAAAAATTTCCCAGTAAATGTGATATGTATGTGTGCAAATTCCTCAGGATGAATAAAATTATTATGTATGGTAAACATATACTGATAACAATTAGAAATAATAAATGTAAATGACCCTAAACATAAATATAAAAATTTAAGCATATTTACCTAGAAGACTAGCCAAATTTTCTATTAAAGGTTTTATGTAAAATATGCATTATTATTATTGTCAAGATTTATAGTCAAATTTGAGCCAATCTAGAAAAAAGTTTCAATTACCTCTAAAATATAGCTGCATACCAGGTATTGTAGCCAAAATATTCTAGTTTTTAAATCACAGTAATCATTTTACAATTAAATTCTTCTTGCAAGCCCTTTCTAGGCACTGAATACAAAATTAATTCTAAACTCTCATTTATTATTAAGCATTTGTAAATCACTCTTACAGGTTAAATAGAGATATTTCAAATTAAACATTTTCATATTAATGAAGCAAATATGACAAAATTTTAGCCTTTATTGGAAGCAGGATGTGGTAGGATGCAAGAATGGTACTTGTGAAAGACATAGGTGGTATTTACTGTGTTTTCCTGTGCATTTATCTTTGAGAAATTTTCTAAAGTGAGTTTAAACAAACTCTTAAATAATGATGGTACTGTTACACCTCCCCATGTGTAAGGACTGTTATGTGCAGGAGTCATAAAAATCCAAAGTCTCATTTCCACGTGTCTCATAGCTCTATTGACTTGTCTACCTGTCCTCTGAGTCACCTGTTAAATTAATCCCAAGAGGATGACGTGAGTACATTATCTACATTAGCGCCATGCTATTTTTCAATAAAAGTAGTTTACTGAATACTACGCAGAAATCAAAAGTGATTTCAGTGGTCTTGCCAATCAGCATTTCACGTATATTTTAAAATAATTGCTTGTATTTCCCCAGGACTTTTCAGCATGGCATGGATGAGTCTGTTTCAGATCGCTTAAAGTCATTTTTCAACCAACCATTGCACTGGGTTTCTTGCATATCACAGTTCTACCCCTCGTTACTCAGGTAAGAACCTCTAGATGACACAGTATCTGTACTTCTATTATTTCACATTAGCATTTAATAGAAATTCATGAATATAAATGAATCTTATAGAGGAACACATAGTATTTCACAATATGCTGTTAAGGGTATGATCTCTTTCTCAATTTTAGTTCAAGAATCCTATGGGGTGAAAGCTTCATAATCTTTCTACTAATGTATGGGTTTAGTGGTATAACAGAAAATAGTGAATTTTTTTGGAATATAGTTCAATAGTTGTGTGCTTCACTATTTAAACATTCATCCTTTTTGATCTATGGCTGAGGATTTATACTTCCCAACTAATTATCAGGTATAGACATCAAAACCGGATAATCCATGCAATGTAGAGCGCTAGGTACAAGTTGAGAGAGGAGTAACTTTTATGATCATGAACAGAATCTTTCACTTTTATTATTTAATTAACAGCATTTAAAACCAAGAAAAATAATTTAAAGTGTGAAATGTGCTTCCAGAGTAATCTGATGACATTTTGTGGCATTATGTAGAATGGCAGTTTGATTCTTTCTGGAATATATCATTGGAAAATGCCTTTCCTTTGTATCTGAGAACAAAAATATCATGTATAGCTAAAGGAGATATTGCTCATCCTCATGCATTCTTGATTCATCTTGGCAATATATTATCAGTGTTACCATTTCAACATCTAAATTGACTGCCTATTTTTTGAGGCACAAGAGTCCCACTCATAAACAAAGGCTATGAAAGCCTCACTGATAAAGTCTCTATAAGAAACATACTGCTTGCATGTATGTGTTTCCATGTAGGTCGTGGAGGATTCAAGACTAATGATACTGAGATTCTGCCTTCAAGGACGTCAACGTACACTTATTATACTTCACTGACATGTAAAACGATGTCAACACTTGATGAAATTTTTATGATTGATTCCCAGAAATACAGTTCCCTCCTTACTCTCTTCTCAATAACCTGTCACCTTGCATGCAAATATTCTTTTATGTCAAAAGGAATAGTCAGTTCTTTCATACTCATTGCAAAAGCAACATATTAAACAACTGGGTCTTTTACAGCATGATTTAGGCAAGCAACTTTTAGATTGATGTGTTCTTATCATCACATTTTAAAATCTATTTTATTTTTTAAGCAGAAAAAAGTAAGAAACAACAGTAAAACTGTTTCAAGACAGGTTAGTAGGAGAGTAACAACAATCGACACATTGCATAATGTTATATTCACAGTAATTGTTTGGAATACAAAAGATAGGCATTACTAGCATACAACTTTCCCCTTAATGAACCAAGAGTAACCAGCTATATAACTATCTTAACTATTTTATATATATATATGTATATATATATGTATATATATACATATATGTGTGTGTGCATATATATATATATATATGTTTTTCCTTTTCCTTCATTTTCTTTCCCCTTTCTCCCAACACAATTTTTCTTTTCTTCTGAAGAGTTTCTTCTCAATCCACAATATGTACTGTACATTTTGGATCTTGTTTACTCTTTCAGATTCTCACACTAGTGAGACAATACAATGGTTACACATGTGGGTCTGGTTTATTTCACTTAAACGTATGGTCTCAGGTTACATCCATTTACCTATAAAAGTATCAAGCTTATCTTTTTAACATTGCATTATATTATCCATTCCTCAGTTGATGGGCATTGGGGTTGTTTCCAAGGTTTAGCTATTACAAATTGTGCTGCTATCAACATGAATACACATATATCTCTAAGGCATGATATTTTTAATATTTCTGGGAAGAAATATTACTCAGAAAGGGAATAGTTGGGTCAAACGGAACCTCTAATCCTAGTTTTTAAAGAAATCCTCACACTGATTTCCACAGTGAGTGTACCAATCTGCACATCTACTAACAGTAGAGAAGGGTCCCTTTTTCCCCACAGCCCTGCCAGTATTTGTTATTGGTTGATTTCTTAATGCTAGTGATTCTTTCTGGGGCAAGATGCAATCTCAATGTTGTTTTAATTTGCATCTCTCAAATGACCAGTGATGTTGAACATTTTTTCATATATTTAGTTGTCATCTGTATTTCTGCCTCTGAGAAGTGTGTATTCATCTCATATATTGCTGCTTTGATTTTATATCTGGAACCACTGACATTATCTCCCTTTAAGATAGCTTTAGAACATTTCCACTTCCAGGCTTGCTCAATTCAGCCCAGTTAGAGGCCTAGGAAATCAGCATGAAAGCGGGTTTATCTTTTAAATACCTAATCCTTGTATGTAAATTATCTTTATTTCTATGCTGAAAGCAAATGTAAATGCAACATGATCTTTCTTTCTTCTTCTTGTCAGTGAACCTACTCCACTATTATCTTAACAGGAAGATTAGAATATGCATGGAGATGCCATCCAGATTACTGTAAAAATAGAATTTGATGCAAACTTTCTGGAGAGCAATTTAGTAACATGTATCAAAAATTTTAAAATAGTTTTTTAACTTTAGCCAACAATTCCATTTTTAGAAATCAACCATAAGGAGTTAATCAGGGATGCTGACAAAGTTTAATATGTAAATATGTCCATCAAAGCATTTATAAAAGAAAAAATGGAACTAAATGTTCAACAGTATCTTACTATACAATGACTGGTTGTGTCGTAACTGATGGACACGGTGCTGAGAGCTTTCACACACTGTATTTATGACCATCTGTGAGGTTCTACGAGGTAAAATACTCGTACACATCTTTTGTGGAGAGAAAGGTGATGTGTAAATAGAAACTTTCTCAAGAGAACAAAGCCAGAAGTCAGCTCCCTAACCTGTGTCCGTTCCATGGTAAAGTTCAAACTCTTAACAACTGAACCACCACTTTACAAAGAGAAAATCATTCAGGTTTGTTGAATAATCATACTTCTCCGTAAGTAAGATTGTTGGTTTTTTTCATTATGGTTCAATTTTGCATGGATATTAGCATGCCAGCTTATCTAAAGGGAGGAAGATCAGTTCAGCAGATTCCCCAAACTTATTGGATGCTAGAATCCTTGTTACCCCAGAGGAGGAACAGTTACTGGAAGCTGGGCCACTATGAAGTAGTGTGATCTAGGATATACTATCACTTAAAGAGTGTTAGAAAATTATGTAGAAAAACAGACATTAGATCCCCGGTACGGATAAAAATGAAAAAGAAAAAAAAAAAAACAGACATTATAAGGATACACACTGGAAAGTTTAGTTTTTATCTCCGGGCAGTAAATGTATGAGATTAATTTTAATTTTTAGCTGCCTTTTCCAAATTTCTTATAGTGAGTATAATTTAATTTTGTTAAGATAAAAACAAATTTAAAGAAAGTTAAAAGGAAGTCTACACTCTTTGTTTGTTCTTTGTACACATTGGTTGAAGCCGCCATCTCTCCCCAGATGATTTCTAGCTCTGAATGCTTCCCTGTAAACTAATACTTTCTGTTCAGTAGCTTGTATTTCCTGAGTGATCCACTGTAGTAGTGAAAATCCAACATTACGTGGATCCTTTCCTTCTCTCTTGTGTTGTTTCCCATGCACAGGGCCTTTCCTGTTAGGCTTGTGATTGTTCTTAAATGCTTACAAGCTCAAATCTGAGCATTTTGCTTCCTATTTGGGCTGTTTACTGTGTCTAGTTGATTCTTCCTCCAAAATCCTCTTAGAAGCCCGCTCTCTCCCCAGCCCATTATAATGACCTTGCTATTATTTTTGTTTTGCTATTAGGTTCGTTTTGCTATTATTTAACAAGTTTAAAATACTGTGTACATTATGTCCCTCTGTCCCCACAAGCCTAGTGCAGTTTCTTTTGCTTGTTTCTTGGAGCACTTTGCGATCTGCTCCAGTTGTGACTGTCTCCTCACAAGTCCCATAGACAATCTTTCTGTACTTAACTTTTATCTGTTGCTCATTGCCAGCATCAAGTCTTTATGTGTGTACTCCCATCTCCTGGAATACCTTTGCTTCTAAGTTCTCCATGTGAGGTTTGATTTGGCCACCCTATTCTGTTACACTCGCTGACAATTTTCTCTGCTAGGACCATGTAGTCTGTTCAGGAGGACGTGATCTATGTGATACATAAGTCGATGTGCTCAGAAAAGTGATTCCATCAGAGGATCCCAGGACAGCAATTTAAAAAGGACTTAAGTCAGTGATTGGCTTTTGCCAGATATAGAAATATGGATTCCTGGACCACCATTATATGACTTTAAAGAATCTCTTATCTTTCCATCCATTTTTTAAAAAGTATATCAGTTTTCTCTGTATATTTTACCCCTAATTATCCTTCAAAAGTCCGTTTGCCCTTATGACTAAAATGAACCTTCAGAGAAGAACATGGATTGGATGATAAAGGGGTCAAAATCTACTGGATTTCTTTTTGGAAAGAGAAAAGCTGAGAGGAGAGATGATTGAAATAGTTAATATCACAAAGGTTCTTAGCAGTCATCTATTTATTTAGACCTACATATCGTTTCTGAAATAATTTCATTTTTAGGAACACTCAATAAAGATAATTTAGGTGAGAAGAAAGAAAAAGAGCAAGGAGAAGGATATGAAATTAATACTTAAAATAAGATTTCAAATGCATAAATAGCTGTATGAATCATAAATTTGTCTAGATAGAAGAACTAGGAAGTATACAAAGAGATAGAAAAACAAAGTTTTTCTTGTTTTCTTTTTCAACATGAGGGATGTAGTTTAGAAGATGTTGCCTTAGAGAAAGTAAATGTGTTTTCATGGCAGTAAGTAAAATATACTACATTTATTGTTCCTAGCAGTGATAAAAGCTAACAATCTGAGTGGATTTAGAAAGAGTAATTGGTTTCAGACTAGATTAAACTAAAGCATGTGGAGAATATTTCAGTCTCTAGATTTATATTATGATACCATACTGTACTTCCACATAAATGTTCAAAAAAGAATACTATTTTGGTTTCTATAGCATGTTACATTTATAATGCTTCTTATTGTTTTTCCCAACTTTCCTCTTCATGTGGTTCTCTAAA